ATTGTCAACATATCTCACCTCATATAATGAAGTGGTGCATTTCGATTCGAAGTGAGCCATACAATTGAATGAAATGATGGTTAAAAGAATTCATTTTTAACGAGATCTTTGTTAATATGACCAAATGACTGACTTCATTAGATAGTCAATGATACACATGAATGGAACTCTGGTTATAGTAATTCATTTTTCGAGAGATCTTTTCTAATGTCATATAGTTAAGATTTAGTCAGGACGTCAGTGATACACTTGAATGGAACCCTCGTTATAAGAATTCATTTATGAAGAGATCCTCGTTGGTTCAATCGATTAATACACTTGGTTACGATGGGAGCTAAATATTCAGATGGAATCCTTGTTGTAACAATTCATCTATCGACAGACGATCATTAATGTAATTGAATTGCATACATCACTTGGAGGTATGCAACACTTTTGAATAGGACTCTTGTTAGAGCAATTCATTTGTCTAGAGATTTGTAATGATGAAATCAAGTGGCATATTTGTCTTCGAAGTGAACGGTTTGCTTGAACGGGATCCTGGTTGTAAGAGTTCCTATATGGAGGAATCTCTAGTGATATGATCGAATAATTTCCTTTAGTTTGATGTGCGTAAAGCACTTGAATGAAGCTTTTCTTATAGTAATTCGGTTTTTGAGAGATCTCTGTTTATGCAACCCAATGACACACTCTGGTACCAAGTCAATGCTACACTTGAATGGAACCCTAGTTATTACAGTTCATAAATCGAGAGATCTTTGCTAGTATAATTAAGTGGCACAGATTGCTATGATGTAAGCGATACATTTAAACGGCGCTTTTCTGACAAGTATTCATTTAACGAGAGATCCTTGTTGGTGCAATCAAGTGACACGGAACGGTACAATGCGAGCGACACATCTAAACGGCACTTTTATGACAAGTATTCATTTAACGAGAGATTCTTGTTGGTGTAATCAAGTGACACAGATCGGCACAATGCGAGTGACGCACCTAAATGGACCTTTAATGATAAGAATTCATTTATTCCGACACATGTGTTGGTGTAAGGAAGGGATACAGTTTGCTATGAAGTGAGTGATTCACGTGAATGAACTCGGTTTAGAAAGATTCATTGATGAAGTGATCTTCAGCAAGATGATTGAATTATTTCCTTTTCACAAAAAGTAAATGTATTTGCTGAATGGAAGATTACTTAAAACGATTCATTGATCAGATGATCTCCTGTAATCATGTGAGTTGGTGTTATTTGCTTCGAAGAAGCGATATACTTGAAGAAAACATTTGTTGTTTCTAATAAATTACCCCGTGCGATTGCGTTATTTTGCCTCATTTCAAAATCCTACTGAGTGTGAATAGGATAGTTGAAGAAATTCTTGATTAGAATGATTCGTACTCAGTACACATTCTGAATGATGAAATACACTCAAGCTGTATTTTGGAGTGAAGGAAGTATTTGAATCGTGTCCTATTCGAATTTGTACACTGACTTTGTGATAATCGACCATCCAGAACTTCGAGAAGTTTACAACATTGTAGAACAATAATTAAATGCATTCATACTTAGTATGATTCATCAACCATTCGATTGTCAATCATGTAAACTAGCATCTCATTGCTTTTAAAGCGAATAGTACATTTGATCAATAGGTTTCAAGCGGTTCCGGTGTAGTTATTTGATTTTTATGTATTTCTTGATATGCCTCAAGATATTAACGTTCGAGAACAGTTCAATCGACTATTTGAATAGATTCACTGTCTCGCTCATTCATTTTCTGAAACATCATGTTTCATATAAATAAAGCTAACTCTTGATTTTACAACGAGATTGATCAGAACGGCTTTGTTTTGCTTAGAATAATTCCCATACCATGAATCCATCAATCTTGTGTCCATCTAACGTTCATTGCTATAGAATAAAATAATTGAATATGATTTTCGTAAGGATATTTCGTATACTGTGCGCTGCTTGATTACAACTTCTAATGTTAGCGATCGCTTCAGAATGAAATAATTGGATACTATTTTCGTTACAATAATTCATATATTATATACTATTCAGTCTTACATTATATTGTCATCAATTGCCGGAGAGTAAAAATAACTGAACATGACTTTAATTAAAATGATTCTCTTGTAGTGTGATCCTCTAATCTGACTTCTATAGTTTATTTTCGGCTTAGAATTGCGTAAAAATGAATAAATCTATTGTTATCGCTCTGTATTTTTTGTGTAGACCTTTATTGTGGGACGAGTCATTATATTTTGGTTTAATGAGAATTATATATATGAACAGAAAGCTAACAATTAGAACGATTCGTTTGTCCAGTAATATTCGGCGGCATGATCCAGAAACTTACTTTGGTTTGAAGTGTTCGGTATATTTGAACAAAGCTATCCTTTTAATTATAATGATCCATAAACTGTATGGTCTAGTGCTCCATGATGAGCTTTCATATTATGTTCTTGATGAGTTATATAATTGAAAAACTCCTTAGTTGAAACCAGTCATTCATGATGTATTCATTATTTGACAGGTAAATGATGTGTAGGACTTTGTTCCGAACAATTTTTTGAATGTATATTTTATCAAAAATATTCGCCTAGTATATAAGCTGTGTTATTTGATTAATGCACAATCGTTGCTTCAACATCACTGATATACTTGAATAGAGTTATGTTTAGATTTATTCAGTTTCGGGATAATTTCTTTTCTTCCTAATAACGACAGAAGTTTTCTCTCGCGGTTAATGAAATACATGAGAGAACAGATTGTTGCCTTTGTTCATTTACCTAGTAACTAGTAATTAGATAACAAACTTTATATTCAGTTTCAAGTATTTACTATATATTGAATAGGATACTTGTTAAAAACATTCAGAATATGGACAATTTTCAATTACATGATGCTTGCTATGACTTACTTCAAAATAAGCATTAAATTGGAATATAAATGTTGCTATGGTTATTCATGCGATATGCAATCAATGATGTGATGTTATGTTAATGATTGATCATCAAGTTTACAACTAACGTGAACAAATTCTAGTTAGACACCATACTACTAAACACTATACGCAACATTGGTCAAGTGGCCTCGAACATTACCTACTCTCGTTTGACTTCTTTATATATCATTATCAAAATTCTTATTTTCATAGACTATTGATGTTATATAAACATAATCTAATCTTAAAGAGCCCTTGTGTCAGTTGTACTTATGAAAAGATTTTTTTCAGTTTTTGAAAATTTTATCTAACACAAGCTCTAATTGAGTTTAGATTATTTTCATGTAACGTAAAATATTTGCAAAATGAAGTTTTTGTTTGGAAAATAAAATTTGTATGAAGTTACTAATTCATGATAAAGATTTTCTTCGTAGCTAGTCTTCTCATTCTTAATTGCGTCGTTTGGCTTTATCTCTTTTTTTTTGTTACACTATATATCGTGTTTTTTTTTCTTTTAAGATTTGTTTTTTGCATTAAATCATCAGTCTTTTGTGCTTCAACATTGTCAATAAATATTCTATATGAGGATGTGGAGTATGTGTGGGGTATAGGTGTGAGTGGGCGTTGGTGTATGTTTTCTTTTCACTCACACCCGAAAATGCACTGCTAGAAAACTATCCAACTCAAAGAAGATTAGATCTTCGTCTCGAACTGGAGAAACAGTAGTGTTTGAGATAGCATGCACTCAAGTTCTAGTGGCTAAGAGCTTCCGAGCTTGTTTCGAACTGATAGCAGAAGTGTAGCTCACTGCAGTAAAAAATTTTGAGTCTGACAATGATCTAAGAGGTCCATGTAAATACCAAAGTGACTTTTATGATAAAATTAGTAGAAGCGGTTCTTTTAGACTTAAAGCCACCAATTTAGACGGCTCTACATCATTTGACAAGAATATAACACTTCAGAAAAAATATGTAACAATGTCACGTTTGTTTTTTTTGCTTCTCTTACGCTAGTAATTATAGTTAGAAGTAGGGGTGGGATATTTACTGTACTTTTTAGTTACTTAGTTACTAGTAAATAGTAACTACATAGTTACTTAGTTACTAGTAAATAGTAACTACATAGTTACTTAGTTACTAGTAAATAGTAACTACATAGTTACTTAGTTACTAGTAAATAGTAGCTACATAGTTACTTAGTTACTAGTAAATAGTAACTATATAGTTACTTAGTTGCTAGTAAATAGTAACTACATAGTTACTTAGTTACTAGTAACTAAGTAGCTATGTGGGTGTGGGTGTGTGTTCGTATGCTTAGATTTTTTAGCTATATCCACACCCACACCCTTTCTTTCTCTCATAGGAAGAGTGAAACAGACGACAAGCACATATGCCTTTTGTTTGCTTAACGACAACATATCACAATGAAATTACTAGTGGAAGGTAGGATTGAATCTGACAAAACTTAAGGCGTTGTTATTTTTAAAATAAATTGTTGGACATTATTCATTTTCTACTTTTCATGAGATTAAAACTATGGTTCATGAAAATTACAGCTGTAGTACAAAGAGACTTTTTAACTCTCCCTCTTCTAGAGAGTTTTTAAGAATTTTGATGAATATTGAACAAATACTGAAACTTGAGCAGGTGAAGAATTTCTATCTTTAATTTCTTTTTAGCAAAGAAAGAAGTTTTCAATCAAGCTGTGTTTATCATCATGCGATCGAAAAAAACAATTAATGTAAAATACCCACCTACCTTCAGAAGTATTTTTATTCTTATCATCAATAACATATTGATTATATCAGTATATTATCTTTTAACAACGTCTAATATGTTTTGTTTCTTTGAATCAACGCCTGGTTATGTGATCAGTTTATCTGGCCATGATAAAAGAGTGTCTGCTGTTACTACATTGTTCAAAGCATACGCCAACCTTTCGCTTTGCCCTTATTATGGTATCGATGAGAGCATATATTACGAGTCAGATCAAGAAAATCATCGAACACTAGGAGAACGAGGAGTGCGTGATACAATGAAGAATTTTTTCTCAATGGTTCTTCATCATAAATATGAGCAAGTGTTTGTCTTTGATGACGATACTATTCCACATCTTAACTTTTCTACCCTATTTAATAAATTATCTGATCGATGTCGTCAAGCTGATGCACTATTATTAGGTGCTGCTATTAATCATAAAAGTCGAGAACAATGGCCAAGTGGTAGTTGCTTCGATGCTGATTCAAGAACTTATGGTTCGTTTGCATTACTCGTCAAAAAATCTGCATTCGTACCTATTCTCGATTGGTTAAGAACAGGTGAAGAGGCTCCATTTGATACGGTCTACGGACATCTAAGAAAACGAGGTATTAATGTTCGAGTTGCATATCCACCATTCTTAGTAATACCAGATGTATCTCATCCATCGCTTGTCAATAAATACTGAATGATTGATCAATATAGTGTTGAAGAACGAGCTGCAATGCATGGCTGGCATTTAGAGGACTATCCTATGTCTGTAATATCTGTTTGATTATGTGCAACACAACGAACTATGCATATAGATTTTTTGATTAGATTAATAAAATTGGAAGTAATTTATTTCTGAAAAAACGCATCTTATATGTTCGTCAAATGTTCATGTACTTCTGAATCCTGTTTTTCAATAGTACGTAAGATTAAATCGACATATAGTCTGTTGAACCGCTGTTCTAAACTCATCCATATATTTTTGAACGAGATAAAGTAACTGATTGAAAATAGTAAAGGGTCATGTGTTGGTTTCATACATCCTTTATAAAATGGAATGATCGAATGAGGTTAACTCAATAATACGATCAGGTATGGGGCCCATAATAGATGCTTATGATGGCTCAGTTTCTGTCGTAAACATTGTCCGAATAATACTGTAGGCTGCTCATTAGAACGAGTACGAACTATTGATGCAATAATAACGACCGCGCAAATGAAATAAATTAATAACAAAGTTATATATATCAAAAGATGATGAAGAGGATCAGGAGATATGTACAAGTTGTAAATAAAAGAGTAATGACAATCATCGGTTTATCAATTCGTTTATTTTTAGCTTTGTTAAAATTAACACCGTTCAATAGGTACACATATATTCGGTCACTCGTTTGTCGCTAAAAGAGCCTTGATATTGGAAGTACACAACGATCGATTGGTAAGTATTCCCTTTTAAGATAGAAGAAGAGTCTAAAATTTGATTTTGAAAACAATTATCAAACATAGCAGATAAAGAATTAAGAATATCTTTTATTTATGTTCTGAAAATAATTAATCAAAGCAATCTTTTTTTCAAATAAAGTCAAATAATTTATCTCTTTAATGAACGAATTGTTTTACAAACCACCCATACGAATTATATTGTGTTTTCGTAAGAAGAATCCTGTCTGCTTGTGACGTATCCACATCAACATAAGAAATACCTTCATAAAGAGGCCAACTTAATTGAATTGATGCATAAAATATCTTTTCCCCAATATCAAATGCTGAAAGTGAAGTAACAGTAAGTTCTGGATCTTCAGAAATTATTCCAACAACTTTACTAATTCCACCTAATGTTCTATTTAAAATTCCGATTGAAGAAACAACTCTCTCAGTTACATTTATATATGTTGTATACATAGTAAATGTTTTATAATCAAATTTCATACTAATCGGAGAATAATTAATTTTTGCTTTCCAATCTACACCACCTTGATTACTTGTATTAACACCAACATATACAAATTGTTGATCTTCAATCATCATAAGAAAATATTTTCTACAAATTGGACAATAACTTGACATATGAGTTGGTTTACTATCTTGAATTGTTCCTAAAACTTCTTTAATATTTCCATTATTTGTATCAATTTCTGCAAGTAATGTTACGTTTTCATTAACAGTTTCAATATGTGCAAATAATTGTTTTTGAAATATATCAAATTGAAGAGAAATAATTGTATTTGATATTGATTTAAATGTTGATATTAAATTACCACTTGTTGCATTAATAACACTTAAAATGGTTTTACTTTCATTATTTGGTGCTGCCATATAAATAACATCATTATTTGGATCATATGTTAAAGGTAAAAGAGGATATTTTATATTTTTAGGATTTCCAACATCATTAATATTTAATGAATTGGTAATATTAAATTGTGATGTATCAATATTGAGTGATCCATAACAAACATGTGTTTGATCAGAATCAGAAAATAAACCATGAAGAATACGTGGTGGATCTTGTTCAGCTAAACAATTTGATATTACCACAAATATGATAAAGAAAAGAAGATAGATTTTCATTTTTTTTCGAAATATCTACTCTTTATTCACAGATATCTTGTTAAATTAGAAAGTAAAATGTAATGTCGCAATCGTATTTTGCTTTTTTTTTTATATACTTTAAACTTGTTGTCTTTTTTCTTTCTTTATGTGGCAAGAACTATTCGCATAATACTGTATCACCATGTGGTAAAGATTATTTTCTATGATAATGAAAAGAACGAAAAATAAAAAAGCAGAGTAATGATGATTAGAAGAAAACTTTTTACCGCTGAAAAGCTAGTTCAATTTTCTACAAAATTTGCTCTAAGGGCATTTGATTTGCAGAGAAAATTTCTTAGATATTAAAACTTAAAAATAGCATTCCAAATTTAGGATCTTTTCATGTAACAGCATTATTCAGCTGAAAAACTTCGTTTTTATAACATAAATAGAGTATGATGAGCTGCATCGAATGGCGTTTGAACGAATTTTTTAGTTATCAAAGTTTGTGAGATAATTGAAAACAAAATATCCGAAAGTGTATGAGCGTTACTTCTAGACAATCTCTAAAAAAACCTGTTTCGTTTTACATTGGTGCCATGTTGAGAAATGTTCTTCAATGAGAAAGACAGTTTTTTTATCGACAAAAATAGAACGATAAAGCATTTTGCAGGACAATTAAAATTTACTGTAAATTGTTCAGATTCTTATATGAAAGCAAAATATCTCTTTGCTTTGATAACTATTTTTCTACAACTTCACACTAGAGTGAAGTGAAGAAGTACCAATACTTAAAAACAGTAATAACAGTGTACGATTGTAATAGACTGGTTTTAGTTCTGATCTCGTTGGGATTGAGAAAGTATTTCTTCTTTGATAGATTTTGGTATGTTCATCGAGGTATGAGTAAAGAGAAGAACTTCATCCACTCATCCCAACTTGACTTATTCTAAAAAAATAACTTGAATGCTCGCTGTTTGAAGTGAAGAAATTCGACGAATTTTCGTTTGTTTAGATTAATTCGGCTCATTTTCTTACCAATTCATTGAAATAAGAAATTCATCAAATTCTTTTTTTTCTCTTTAAAATATTCAAAGCCCAATCGAATTTTAATTTAAATTACGTAAATCCATCTGTTGACTTCTTCCAATTTTCTCCATTGCTCATCACTTTAGATAATTCCTTTTTAGATCCAGGAACAATAATTATCATTTAATCATTGTCACATTTTTAACACTAACAATTAACATGGAGTTCGTTTATACACAACAACGAATAAAAAGATTCTGTCCGCATGCATCGTAGTTGTACTTTTTGGTTTTAGAACAATTCGAATTATTTGTCAATCGATGAAATTATATATTCATGATTGCAGTAGATGAGTCATCTATAAAATAAAAATGTATTTGTATTTAGATTTTGAAATATTTTTTATTGAATTTCAATAGAACAGATGTATGTCAAGTTACTTTTCGATACAACGATAATAGTTTGGAAAAATATTTAATTCAATGTGTCTGTTCACCATAGTATGCATTCAAGTTATTCTTTGTTGTCCAATATAGAATTATTTTACAATCTAAATTTACAAATAGAACATACGTGACAAATTAAAAAATAATCTCACCATACTGTTTGAGTCCATTAGCAACAATTACCTTGCATTATATTGACATATATTCAATTAAACTAGATGTATTGTTCATCAATAATTCAACCATTTCTTAAATAAAAACCATTGTATGAATAAAAATAAATAAAACTTTTTATTATTTTCATTAGGTTTTATAATTATTAATCTTTATTCCGACTTCTGCCCTATCTAATTTACGTTAGATAAACCATATTAATTCGTTGGCTTTTGCTTTTCAAACACCTTCAATCTTTCCCACGATTCTAAATGTTTGCAGGGTGTGGGTGTTTTGATCCTCTCATCGTCAATACCCACATCAGAGTTGCAACCGGTAGGGTTTTTTCCTTACCGGTACCGGTACCGGTCTAACTGATCAGACCGGACCAGATCGGCCGGTATACCGATATAAATTATTCTTCTGTTTTCTGACCCTATAACACTCAAATCAACACCTGGATGAGTCATATATTCCTTCTAATCACTACAGCTATGATATGAAAGTACTACTTCGCCACTGCAGTGCTTTTTACTATTTGCTTTCATATGTTTTCTGTTTCTCGATATCTATTGATGAACACAAAAGTTCATACAACCATAAATTCTATGTGAATTTTGCACTTTGATTAACTATTCATCAAATATGGGCTCTATTTACTGCTCGTATGCTATACTCGCTTTGTCATCTTTCGTGTCTGTGAGGACTATATGCAATAAATAATAGGAAATACAAATCCATGATAAACTACAATGCTAAACAATTAATCATTTGATTTTATTTCAACAACACTCATGTGGTTCAGAAAACGGCATTTTGTCGGTTAAAACAGTTCTTATTGGCCAAAACTACCGTTTATCATACCTAAACGTCGTTTCAGAATAGAAAACAGCTGGAAATTGATCTTTGTAAACGCTACGGAAACGTGTTTGTATGCATTCGAGCTTATATACACATAATAACATTTCTGTGTTGTTTAAGAAGGTCAATATCCAGCTATTTTCTTTTCTGAAACGACGTTTAGTTATGATAAACGTTAGTTTTGGCCAATAAAAACTGTTTTAAATGATAAAATGCCGTTCCTTGAACTATGTGGGCAAAACATCGTACCCACATGGATTGGATAAATATAAAAACATCCATGACAAATTTTGACTCAATAGGATAGTTTGATACAATTTTCTTTACCGAAATAGTCTTCGACATTAGTAAAAAGTTTTTGATGTTCGAAGAAAATCACCTTTTTGATCATTTTTTCGGAAAAAAATGGGGAAAAATTAAAAAAAAAATCAGACCGGACCGGTAAAGAAAAAGTTGGTTCTACCAACCGGTAAGGAATCTTCTACCGGACCGGACGGAACCGGCCGATCTGCCAGTCCGGTTACAACTCTGCTTTACAGTGATCTTCATTAAATATTTTCACGTGAAAATTTTTTGTTAATATTTATTTATATTTATTTGCTTTGTTAAATTCTCTGACCTCAATTTTTCTAAAGGGACTTCAATATTTAATTATTTCTACTCGGAGTTAGGGATGTGCAGTTTCAGTATACTGATCACCGATAAAGTCACACTGGCGTTCACCGGTACACTGATGACACTGACACTGGTGTTCACTGAATCAGTACATACACTGACACTGGCGTTCACTGAATCAATACATACACTGACACTGGCGTTCACTGAATCAGTACATACACTGACACTGATGTTCACTGAGTCAGTACATACACTGACACTGATGTTCACTGAATCAGTACATACACTGACACTGGCGTTCACTGAATCAGTACATACACTGACACTGGTGTTCACTGAATCAGTGCATACACTGACACTGACTGCACTTGTTGCACTGACGCACACTGGAACACTGACGTACTGATACTGATTTCCATTGACTAGGATTTATACACAGAAGACGACGCCATATTCCGCTTGTAATATGTGGATTAACAAAAAGTTTTCATCGAATGGAAGCATATCTGCTTAGCAGTTCGGTTTCTTGGTTGAGATAAGCTACATACACTTTTACGTACATACACTTTTTTCACCATTGCATAAAAAGCTGTTAGCGCAACCCCTTGCGGGATTAAAAATGTGAAACACGATGTAGCTACTGCTTCCAATGTTCTAAAAACAGTTGTTTTCTATGCATATTGGCGTACATTTCTTGATCATGCCTAACTTTACATTACAGAGCTTGAACAGGATAATACTACATATATGCTCCAATCATATATTAGCTATGCATTATCTCTGATATTTCCTTGAAGTCTTCTATCACAGTCTATGATGACTCCTGAAGGCCATCTGTTAGAGTCTATGATAGGTTCAAAGCCCTGTCAATCACGGTCTGTGATGGCTCCTAAAGGCCATCTGTTAGAGCCTATGATAGGTTCAAAGCCCTGTCAATCACGGTCTGTGATGGGTTCAAAGCCCTGTCAATCACGATCTGTGATGGGTTCAAAACCCTGTCTGTCACGGTCTGTGATGGTTTCAAAGCCCTGTCTGTCATGGTCTGTGATGGGTCCAAAGCCCTGTCTGTCACAGTCTGTGATGGGTCCAGAGCCCTGTCTGTCACGGTCTGTGATGGGTTCAAAGCCCTGTCTGTCATGGT